TCAGCTTGAAGTTGGGCAACTTGCGCCACGAGTTCCGCCTTCCGCTTCACTGATTTCGACTTCTCCGTTTTTGTTTTGTTGATGTTGGGGCATCGGTCGTCATGTCCTGCTTGATGGCTGCCTGAAGTTTTTTGATCGTCATTGCAATCATCTTCTATTCTGACTATAAGGGACAATAGCAGGAGCAGGCATCACACTTGTTTTTTTTTTTTGCAAACTGAACCAAGGAGAGGCACTATAGGTTAGATTTATTGTTTAGTGTTGTTTATTGTCACAAAAATCCAATCATATCCACTGAGAAGGGCTATTCTATGATTTCCGTCATATAATGGAGAATCGGAGCAATAGCTCCAGTTCAAGTTCGCACCATTTAAAGAACAGCACATTAAAGGGACTGTCCCACCTTTGCATTAGTTCTGAGTTGAGATAGCCAAGTTGGCAGCCAGGTTCAGAAACCACTATATATCCTGGTCGCAATATCCTCAGTTTCGTGGTGTTCCCTTTTTTAATTTGAATTTTGATTTGAAATTTTGAAATTTGAATTTGAAGAAATTTGTTCCCTTCATTTGAAAAGTGGGCCTTCGCTAAGGCCCTATCTCTTAACTATTAACGGCCATTTGATGACATCATTTGCATTTTGAACGCCCTGTCACGCATGTGAAGTTTCACTTGATTTACGAATAAGCTAATCAGAGACACTTGTTATTGTATGAGCCGCGTCATATTTGAGAGCAAATACCTATATTTGCTGCCAAATTTCCCCCACACTGACATGAAGTAAATCCTTCATTACATCACAGATCCGATCTAAATGACGTCATGACAGTGTTGGAAAAGTTGCCGTTTTCTGGTATCAGATGCGCCAGGAATTTTGTACTCCACTGGAAAATGACAATTTTTGTACTCCAATGACTACGCGTCCCACACAAATAAAAGGGTGTGAAATTTGACAATGAACTGTCCATACTCCCTTGTGTTACAGGTACCCAGTGGAAACACAGCTTCTGCAATAACTGCATCCCAGCCCAGGGGCCCAACCCAAGTCAGGGCAAAAACTACAAGTACAATGCACAGCAAAATGAGGATCGAAGAGCCAAATATCCTGCATAACATCCACCAGCCGTGATGAACAACTACCAGGACTGATACTTGTACTGGTACATTGCTGTGTTATGCTCAACAAATTATGTGCTTACGTGGTCCTGTAGACAACGTACATGAAATAAACATACATGTAAAATGTTGTATTTTGTGAGCTTAATAACTTAGAATGACTTGCATTTGTGCCAAGTCCAAATCCATGATGATGATGGGGTACAAAGTTATCAAAAACGCCATGGAGTACCTATTGGTCTGGACAGTATATAGGGCCTTGGTCTGGACTAAAAGCTGCATGTGTACCTATCGTAATAAGGATCGATCATAGGGATATCAAGGAAGCAGACACCTTGATTAACACATTAATTTTATCAAGCTAGACAAGTATCTGCCAGCTGCGAATGAGGTTAATAATTTAGCTGTAACCTTCATCATTGTCATGCAATTAAAATGAAACATGGGATATTACAAGTAAAACTCACAAGCAGGCCACAAAATGAATGAATATACGTCGCAAGGTATACACTTACACATGCCGCTACCTACCACAGCACAAATCGCACAAATAAGTGCGCAATGATTGTCTTTTTGTTAGAGATGTTCAAGTTGTGCACAGCTTCTGTGGAGTCGCGATTCAGTTCTCCTAAGGATGGAATTTTAAATGGTTTTTGATCGGGAGACGACTTGGAATCTTTCGACATTTGCATCGTAACTTATGCTCAAATAATGATTGTTTGGGGTTTAAAAAAAGGAGAAAAATACAACCTTTCAAAAAATGACCAACTTTTCTCAAATGAAACGCCGTAACTGTTAATATTGGAAATTTTCTGAACTGGAAACTCGATGATAAAACTTGAAGTGCAGACCCTGTACTCCTTTGCCAATTGTATGCTCCACACAGCTCCGTTTCTCATGGCCCGGCTATGACAGATACAAAATTGAGCCTGCTTTCTGATGGTAGGCAGTTTTTGGCCAGATGACTTATGGTTATTGTGAAATTGGTGTTCAAAGGCTGTACTCCGACCTCTGTCTCCGGATCCTGTCGCCGCAGCGTAGTCGCGACTCCGTGGTGTGTGCTGTGCCAACTCTACGGGCCGCTTTATTTCGCCGCGCCGATATTTGTGCCGCGGCGTTTTCCAAATTTTCGAAGCTGGCTGTATATTTTCGTTTGTTTTCCATTGTTGCCTGTTTTCCATGCTATTATGAGTATAGTTGTAAAAACAACCTAACAGGTTTTGTCTTTTATAATTGTAATCAAGCATACGGGCCGTGGGCATTAGCCGTGCGGTAAGTGAACGTTCCACTTTGGTTTTGGTCTGGTTCCTTTCATGATAGTAAATAGGAGTATGATGATTAATTGATAATTTGACTCATGACTGTTACCTGGAGTGGAGTCAATATCACTATCATTAACCTCCCAATTGTCTTTGCTGATGTAGGTACTATATCATTTCTCTGACCCTAAATATTCATTCTTATTTTAAATCATAAGCATGATCCAACAAAGTGAAGTCCTATACATAAGTTGAAGTCTAACAAATTCAGATAATCTTGCTTTCAGTTATAGCTTGCATTACATAATATTGCATGACTAAGTAGTGCTTCCTGGTGCATATGAGAGCACCAATTTTTGGATCGACTCGTCCCTACTTCTAGCTGCTAACCTAATCCTTGCTATGACCACTAACCACTCAATTACACAATCACATAATGCTTGCCACTCTCAACAAAAAAGTTCTAGTCGATCGTCTTGCTGCGTCACTCGATAAACATTGTTTTCCACACTGTATTGTTTATTCACATGCTTACAATTCTACATACATAAGTACAAAGAAAAACACTGCACAAAAACACTATGCAGACGCAGTTGACCACCCCAACGCTGTACAGTTGTACTCCACTGGCCCAAAATTTTTGTACTCCACTACCAGAACAAAAAAGTGAAATTCCAACCCTGCGTCATGATGAAATATAAAAGTCGCAATATCTAAAAAAGTATACAATGAAAACGCGTAAAAACTTGCAGAATACGTCACAATATCATGAGTAACATTTCCAAATCCTAAATGGTACTTTTTTTGGAGGTGGGATGGTCCCTTAAAAATCACTAAAACACATTAAAAGAACATGGGTAAAAGCACAGATAAAAACAAATAGTACAAGCTGGTGTTCTAACAGGATAAAGAGTTGGCTGTAGCCCACACTAGCTGGGGCCGGGACATAAACTCACATTTGAGCACTGCTTTCAACCGTCGCACCGTCAGATCCTGGCGACTTTTAGCTATGACAGCAGCATTATACAGTAAGTTTCGCAGCATAGGTTGTAGTCTAGGTAAGGTTTGGTTTGGTAATGGTTTGATTAGAAAGCATCTCTGGGTATAGCAATCTTGGGTAGGTACAGCACCTCTCCAAAAAAAGTCAAAGCGTGATTGTGATGCCTGCTTACCAACAAGTAGTCAAGGGAGCATCTTAGTCTCAGTCACTTTATATAAATATGGAGCCCAGCTGGTCAAGCCTTGATATCTGACATTTTAAGAAATACGATTACTTTGCTAGTGGATAATCAATATTGGGCATATCAAAAAGAAAATATCATTAGGTATAGATTTTAGTGGAAAATATTCATCGTCGCGCGTAACATTTGAACTTTTGCGCTACAAACGCCTCGTGCCAAGGATCGAGAAAAGCTAAAAACTAGAAACTATCCACGATCAACTTTTGATTACGTCATCGGAACTTTCAAGTACAGTCGTAACTCCACAACATGGTCGTAAGTCGTGACTAGTTGTAACCAAGTTGTTCGCAATCTCTCCCGTCGATATCAGGAAAAAGGGAAGTAACCTATGGAAGTATCGCCCACGTGTATAAGGCAGAAGTACGCAAGCAATGAAATACGATGAACAATATAAACATTTGCGATGCTTACTTTTGTTCGTAAATCGTAACCCTCACCCTACCGCCCTGCCCGTCTCCCTGTCTGATGTCTCTAATCGAAGTTCCTAACCTAATCTAAATGCCAGCTCGTATCAAGAATCTTCCAACCAAACACCACAGCACCGAGACACTCTGTATTTCGTCCAGTATTTCGGACGGTAACACCGCAGTAGGAGCGTCCGTTGACAAGCAGGCAAGCGCGTACGTAACTATACGCACAGTGGCACTACGCGCCCACAATAAATATCGCCTCTCTCGTTGGTCGTCGTTTCGTTGTGTGGGGGTTCCTAGCGACACGCGCCGACCGACAGCACGATCACAGTCACTCGGTTCGGCCGCCGGCGCAGCGCAGCTGGTCCGGTGACCGGGTCAAACTGCAGGCACGCTCTGCCGCACCCAAGAGGCGGACTCACGGCAGGCGTCCTCTGCCCACTAATAAGCTTTAGCACCTGCCTAAAAGGTTGAGCGAGGAGTAGATTAAGTAGTAACATTTCACGACACATCGTAATATTACGAATTTGCCACACATGTTTACTGTAACTGTTTAGGTTGAAGTTGGATAGGAAACGTCGGAAATCCAGTGCAGACCTTCGACCGAACCCACCAAAAGTTGCATAGTTTTCTTTTTATAGCCTGAACAGAAGCTCGCCATACCTATTGTTCTTAAGCAAAAACAATAACAAAAGAAAACAAGGCAATTTAGCAAAATATAAGTGCATCCCCGAAACGCTGAATGCCATAACCAAGACCGCCTGTTGTAAAGTGATCTAGATAGTAGGCATTCAAATGACTCAACTATATGCACAAAGCGATACGTAAGCAGGCACTCTCCTTCAATCGGCGAGGATTTGCATTGAAAAGAGTTGAGCCAAAAGTATGAAAATGAAGAAAAGTGACGCACCGTTGCCAACAAGCACGCAAGCTATTTTCAATGAAGAAATCCACACGGAAACGACAAAATACATTGATTAAACTACAAATGTATGACTTCTCAAATAACTGGCGTGATGTTTGAAAGCGTTAGCACGCATGGCGCGACCGAAAAGAGATTCAAATAATATGGGGAAGCTATCCTGAGGGCACGAATAAACACGACAATACTAGCGCTACCAGGATAGTAAGTTCCTTTGTGAGCGACCTGATCAAATTATACCGAAAACCATACCAACACGGCATGGACTAAAACACAATACATAGTAACAAGGTATAGCATGAATAAACTCAACACAATAAGTTGATAAAATATAAAGCATTGCATGGAGAATGCTACGAAACACGCTAATGCTCGCAAGTTAGTACCTAACTATTGCCTCGTCATCGGAGTGCACATCGAGATTATTATAATAACGCATTTTTCCATAGTGTTAAGAAAATGCAATGCACTGTCAAATATAATCGATAAAAAAACTTATGCAAGGCCGACAGTACGGTAACAAATGTGCCCATCAGTTGCCGATAGAATATTATAAAAGCTAAGGGCTCCAAAGTAAACACATGTAAATCAATTTACACCCATAACTCAATATTACTCCTAGATTCTTACCGTAAGGCCAGAATTAAATGCAGCAAAAAGTTGCGATACAACTTTAACTCCTGTCCACACTAAAAGACTTATAAATTGAAGACTAGAAGTACCGGCAGCGGCGCCATACACGCATAGGACCTAGGAGCTCTTGTTAAAGCTATGTACCGCCGTCAGGGAAGCAGCACCAGTCGGCCTTCGTATGCGCAGACCGCCATTGGTGATGGCGGGCCGCGCCACCCGCAGCACTCAGCACTACAGACGGCCGGCTGGCCCCCTCAGTTCTGCCCGCAGGCCAAACAGCGGGAAGACGTCAGCGCTCGCCTTATACAACTGTCTCTACCCGCAGCAAGCAGGGTGACACCCAAAACGCCCTACGAAACTTCTAAAATGTCACACGGCAGCAGCTGGCGCAATAAGACGCACTGCCTAATACGATACCGCCTCACAAAGCACGGCAAACCGCACAGCAACAAGCGCCGCGGCAACACTAGGCTTGTGCACGTGGCTGACTAGATAATTCTACTGCTGAGCAGGCAGCACGCTATGCCTAAACGCCTATGCAGACCCGTCCCCGTCCCAACCCGCGGGTCGCCAGCAGCGCTATCTTCCATAGCGAACGGCCAGTCCCAAAAACATCGCATTGGTGGACTGCCTCGCTAAAACCGCGACGCAGAACCCCGGCCGCGACTGCAGCTGCCGCTAACTGTCCAACAGGCGACGTGAGCACCCGCCCATTCAGCAATCTCCGCTGAAGCCTAGCGATGACAGCGGGAGTGTGGCGCCGGCGCAGACGGCGGGGGCGCATTGGAAGCCTGGGTTCCTACTGAGCTGCGCTGTACATGAGATAGCTTGCCGGAGACCATCGTTTTGCACGCTGACTCACCGGTCGAGTCGTCAGCTCTAGCCGATTCTCAGATTCGCAATGACTCACGTCTAGCCGAGTCGCCAGCAAAGCCCCACCGACGGACCGAGACGGCTCAATTCAGTGCCGTCGGTCGGGCGGACCGGGCGCCGGCAGTGCGGCATGGTAGAGCGCCGGCCTCAGGCGCGGCTGGGCGACTTGAGCCGATCCCGACGGCGACGGCGAAACATCACTGAGAGCAGGGCACAGAGCCGGTGCCAGCGGCGCCGGATCCGCGGCGCCCGGCCCGGCGACGGCTGCAGCCGCCGCTCCTCGTCCTAGACACGAGAGGGAGGGTCAGGTGGGTTAGACAAATGTCAGATGTTAGATGCAGTGCTGTGGAGGGTATACGAGTGATAGCTTGAGTAAGCAACGGAGTCAACGACACGATGCACACTCACAAAATTACAACGCTATAGTTCATGCTGTGCTATGGATAATCTGAGACACTCATGTTGCATTACGGCTTGTTGAATATAAATGACCATTTGATTGCCGACTCATGACAAATACCAAACAAGGTAAACCAGTGAAATCGGCCCTGCTTCCCGCCTGGCCCGGAATCGTTCCGCCGCCCGCGCACCCACCTCATCCTTGTCGCGCTCCTGTTTGCGGATGATCCGCACGAGCGCGTGGAAAGAGTCGTCCACGAAGCGGCGGTAGGCCGCCGACGTCTCAAAGAAGGGCGCGTTCAGCTGGCGTGCGAGATCGCGCCCCTCCTCAGTCAGCACCTGGCCGAAGGACACACATGTAGAATGAAGGCTACCAAACAGCGATTGGTGACTCTGTGGCTGTCCAGTGTCTAGGTCCAATTATCACTTTTACGTGTCTGTCCCACCATTCTGTCGCTGTCTAGGCCCAACTCTCACCTTTCAGTGGTTGTTCTCACTCCTCTGTGGTTGTTCAGGACGAACCCTCACCTACATGCGGCTGTCCAGTTCCAGTTCTCATCCTACCGAGGTTGTCCAGGTCCAATCCTCACCTACAGGGTGGGGCAGCATAATCGGGAATGCTTTTTGGGCTCTGATCATGAGTAGGCATGGCATTATTTTTATAAATTATATTATGGCAATGAAACGCCCAAAAGTTGTGCATCATCTGACATGACTACATCCATGAGCATGCAACTTCCTGGAAAAGAGCAGCAAAATAGTTCGACGGTGCTCCAAGTGCTTTGCGCGCGCCCATAGACACTAATGTTAAACAAGTAAAACAAGAACATTTTGTTTAAAACCCTGCAATTCCACGTAAAGGTTGCTGGGCAGGTCAACGTGTTATCACGGACGATAAGGATTGTGTGGGGATACTTAGGACAACAGGTTAACGTAATCGTCGTAAAATAACTCTTAGCAGAGGACATACAAGATGGCTCACTTGAATATAAGGAAGAAGCACTTGAGCATATTAAAAAGAAACAATGTTCAAAACTTCAGCGACAAAAAATCTTATCACCGACTGGAATACGATAAAAAAGAATGGCATGCCATATAGGGGATTGTATCGAGAATATTCCAGCGGTCATGCAAAGTAAACATCCTGTTGGGGTGATGGACCTATGGGTGGTCTTCAAGGGAGGTGCACGTGGTGCACCCTACTTCATCGAGCCCGGATAAAATGAGCACCTCTGGTAAATACAACCGCACTCTGGCAGACTCACGTGGAGCCGTCGGAAGAGAGGATCACTGACGGTCCAAATCACGTCTTACGAGGACTCTGTCCGTGCTGGTACTGCAGTGAGGACGACATGTTATTGTGTAGGGCACCTCCACCTGAGATGAACCAAAAACTTCTGGTCCTTCAACTCCGCCGATTTAAATCCGACCAAATTCTTTACATGGAGCGTTTTTTGGTAGAAGTTTAATGAACAACTTATCATTAGTAAAAACAGTCTTCAGTGCAAGGTACGAAGCTGATGGGCGATCATGGACAAGCAGGAGGTTGCACGTGCATGCGCGTGCTTTTGGACCCGCCTTGAGAAGGTCATCGACGCCGAGGGCGGTCAAATAGGATGAGGGATAGGTAAAAGGTGACCGATTGATAGGATGTTGCTAAAATAGTGCTTGGAGCTATATTTTTAGATTCATGACCAAATAATCCCGTTTGATATTTATTCCCGATTATGCTGCCCCACCCTGTAACTCCTGGCTGTCACGGTCTACCGTTCCGAGGCCTTTAAGTGTCAGCTCTCATCTTACCAAGCCTGTCCAGGTCCAACTCTGACCGTTCTGTGAATATCCTGGTCTACCTTTCTGTGACTAGTCCAGCTCCAGTTTTCACCTTTCTGTGACTGTCCAGGTCGAGTTTACAGCCGACGATGACGAGAGGCACGTCATCAGCGGCGCGGACGCGACTGAGCAGCCGCCGGTACTCGGCCACCTGCTCGAAGCTGCGCCGATCGCAGATGCTGTAGCAGATGATGAAGCCCTCGCCGCAGCGCATGTACTGCTCCTTCATGGCGGTGAACTCGACCTGGCCGGCCGTGTCCAGGATGTCGAGCAGCGCCGGCTCGCCGTCAATCACCGCCTGCTGCTGGTACGCATCCTCTGCGGAGCGCGGGAGTCAGACTTTGTAGGTGTGATGTGTGGTAAGAGTCCCACGGCAACGTTTAACAGAGGCTGCTCGTTAACAATCAATACACAGCATGCACCTGATGGTGATGAGTCTGATGACCGATCTAAAGATCACGACGCTGGGAAAATCTTATGATAATCTTTACATTGAGTCTCAGAGGCACAAAGACCGTATCGAATATCGGAGTCGGCGAATGTAGAGCCGTTAAGGGCTCAAGTCACGATAATAACAAGCACTACGCGCCTTACCTACATACGAGGACGCTATGGTCTGCGTCACGAAGCCGCATCTGTGTCACACACTCACCGATAGTCGGGTCATGGTACTCGATGAAGTTGTGGCTGACGAACTGCAGGACAAGCGCAGACTTGCCGACGCCACCCTCGCCGAGCACCACCACTTTATAGACGCGCAAGCGGCCGCGGCCGGGTCGCGGCGCGCGCGCCCCGTCCGCGTGCGTCAGCTGCGGCATGTCGCTCGTGACATCACCCAGCCTGCCGGCCATACAAGGGATGTTGGTTCCATAGGGTGAAGACACATGAACACCCAAATAGGCAAAACAGGCCTACTGCTGCTAAAATGGCAAACTGATTGGAACTGAAGAAAAGGTGGAGTGGATGAGGGAAGGACTTGTTATATCTTTTCTCATTAGCAGTTGGTATCTTTTTTATGTGGCTGGTTACACTCATAGGTGACATTTAGGCCCAAAATACCCACAACTTGCAATTGTACCCATGTTGGTAAAACTTAATATTCTTCAAGATAGGTAAAATCAAGCTACAATAAGTCATAACGATCAAGTGTTGTATTCAGCTTAGACATTCTAGGACAAACTGGCTCACAGTTCAATAAATAAAGAAACTACAACATTGCTGCAGAGCATTCAATAGCTCTTTTATTGGTAGATGGCATAGGTAGTTTCAGACTATTATGATAGCTGCAGTTATTATACTAATTACGCTCAATGCATGAAAGCAGATTTCAGCTGTAAAATTGAATTATGAAACTTCTACAACACAACAGGGACCTCTTTTACCATCTTTTTTATTACCTAGACTCCTTGTTTCTCATCAATGCATCCTACCTCAGATTCAACAGTTGTATGAGAGGTAAGCTGATGTTGCTTTTGCTCTCAGTCTCAGTCAATCAAAACTGGACCAAAACTAAAAAAGAAGCTCAAACTGCTACTGAGAAAACAATATCAAGCCCATTGATTTTTGTCAAATATCATCTTGTTTTAAGGATTTGTTTTATCAATTAGCTCAGTTTTTTCCTTCACTGAGTTGGTTGAACTTATGGGCAAGTTAAGGCAAACACCAACCACAGCTGGCATATCTTTTTCATCCCAAGGTGTTATCCCAAGGTGAACAGTAAAGTTTCCAAAGAGCAAAAATTTTGATAATTGACCTTTATTAGTTTGGTACAATTACTTTTGATAGGAACTAGCCACTACTCACCAACTAGGTTTGTGCACAGGACATATGCTTTATCAGCATCACTCTGTATTGGCCTCTTGCAATTTGCACCCTCTAAAATTTTGGAATTTCACAAAATAAAAACATGAAAGGGGAGAGCACATCCTTCTAAGCTTCAAAAGTGACCCCACACATCAATACTAACAATAAACATCCAACCATTAACATTTATAAGTTTCACCCCATCTCTGACCACACCAAACATTACAATTAAATCACGTTTTCGCAACGTCATGTATGTTACGTTATGCAAGATCAAGTCACGTTAGGTTAAGCATTTCTAGGAGTAAATAATGGTATTGGTATGAAGTATGAAACATCAGTTGGGGGAGGTTTGGTCAATGGTTGTCATTTTTAGCACATGCCATTTTTGGCAACCATGTGCTAAAAATGACAACGCTATCAGCTATTTTTAGCAACGATGAAGCCGATTTCACTCCTCAGCGAGGAAATCACGATTTTGGAAATACAAGCACTGATTTTGGAAAAGAAGTGCTGCCACCTGGTGCAAGAAGAAGAAACCAGCTTTAATATGGCCGCAGTGTCCCAAAATTATATTTTGGCTTGGGTGTCGGAGGGGAATATTCGTCACTACAAAGAGGGCTGAGAGTGGAAAAATACCAGTAAGAAAGACACACAAAGAGCGGAAAACAGGGGTCAACAATTTATTTGTGAATGTTATAGGATGTCGGAGCTGCCTTAAAAGATAATTAAATCGAATATGGAGGGAAATAAAAGATACGTACAGCCACACGCAGATGCTCTTTATTGGTAAAAAAGGGAGTGAAAAATTGCTCTTAGAAATTGGAGGTGAGAGTGGAATATTATTTTGATTTGGATGTCACTTCCCACCCAAACTGGCGAGTTTTGGGACTGGCCGTTGTTTGTATGGTAGTCCAACGTTGAAGTATACCCTTTTTTGTGGCCCGAAGTTGGAACTTTAAATTGAAGCATCCGAAAATGATCGATATTGATCGAAATCATGATGTTGATGAAAAAAATAATATGTTAAGTTGAGAGAGGAGGCCATTTTATCCAGATGCGGTGGTTTACTTCTTGAAATTATTTTTGCTTACGACGACTGCCATGTAATGAGGGATAATTAGCAGCCGTCATTAGCAAAAATAATTTCAAGAAGTAAACTACTGCATCTGGATAAAATGGCCTCCTCTCTCAACTTAAAATATTATTTTTTTCATCAACATCATGTTTTCGATCAATATCGATCATTTTCGGATGCTTCAATTTTAAGTTCCAACTTCAGGCCACAAAACAAACTACCATACAAATAACAGGCATATTAAAGCTGGATTCTTCGTCTTGCACCAGGTGGCAGCACTTCTTTTCCAAAATCAGTGTTTATCTTTCCAAAATCTTCATTTCCTCGCTGAGGAGTGAAATCGGCCTCATCGTTGTCAAAAATAGCAGAATCGTTGTCATTTTTAGCACGTGTGACAAAAATAGCACGTGCTAAAAATGACAACGATTGACCAAACCTCCCCCGACTGACATAGATATGTATAAACTTAGTATGAGCAATTTCTGGGTTGCATGATTCGTGCCAAAATAATGTTACCTTAAAAAGGGTTTTAATTCAATTTGGAGCTAAGGGTGCAAAAGCTGAATTTCACAATTTCCTTTTGAAAATTTGTTAAAACAACCCCGTCACGTACCATCCCCACCTGCAACCACTCTCCCACAAAACTCAGAATAAAATAAAAATCAAATAAAAATGTTGAAACAAGCGATGAAGAATATACACACTCACACGCAAATCTTCAACTTTTTGATCAAGGTCCGACAAATAGCATTCGGTAATCATTGTCGAGGAAAATTCACGAGAAATAGAATATGACGTCATTGGAAATAAAAAACTGCATTGGATACGGCTACTGTATTTTATCCAGATATATTGAAGTGATTTGTGATACTTTATGATAGAGAAGCTGCGTGAAGCTCTATGAATATGATCATCAAATTTCTAGGAAAATTATCAATAGCTTTAAACAGGCTACAAAACCAAAGGAATGCCGATTGCGATAAGATGCCTTGCGGCGCAGCATGCCTCAGGCGTCCTGCTGAGAGACATCTATCGGGTGAAATATTAGCTAGCGGATGGTACGGCACAACCAAGGCACAACATGCCGATGTGAAAATCTCGCCCGTGCAATATTTGCCGTCTTAATGAATGAATTCCAGCTTTGGATGTAAACAATGAGAAAGTGTCTATCCATCAAACGCCACACCCACCAATTGTCGAAGAACAGAAGCACATTTCGAAATCAGGAGCACAACACCGTGTATTCAGGTGGTGTGGCGGGCTTACCTTTGAACCTTTGATGTGCTGCTTCGTCTGGCTTCTTCTGCTGGAAGAGTCGACACGATACTGCTATAAGCAGCCGCCTGGACTGCATTTTGACGCCTCCAGCAGCAGAACGTCAGCAATTCCCTTGCCATTGGTACGGGGACCCGCAGTTGCTTCTGTACACGAACCCCAAGTCTAACCGTCTGTCCTGTCCAGTAACAACTGATAACATTGATATCGACTGCTGGTCCCTGTACAAGAGCAGCTGATGTTTTCTGTGCGTGCCCTCTGACAGCTTATCGTTGTTCCCTATGAGGGTGCTGGGACAATTTACTCAGGGTCGCTGTACAGTAGCACATGGTGTGTCAAAAGTGGAAATAGCCGCCCGGCCTTAGTTCGCCAGCCCTGTCAATAGATGGCAGTACCACAATATGGGCAGCGGATCGTGCAATTGACGTCAAATTTTCGTTATCTGCTAAGAATTTAATGGCGGATCTTTTCATGCAAGAATCAAGTAAATCGGTCCACAACTTTTCTAGCAACAGAGATATGAAGTAAAACACCCTGCCAGAGCGGCGGCGCGGCGGCCGGCGGCAGCCGTTACGCGCCACCTGGGAGACTGGCGGCGCTGAACGGTTCCGAATTGGCACTGCACTTAAACCTGTTAACTGCTTGGAATAGTTATTTTAGCAAAATTTTCATTCAAGTGAGGAATAACCAAGGGCAGGAAGTATGTATGCTTGTGTGCGTACTGTGTAAGCCAAGAAACTGCAATAGCAGATACTCGCTAATATTAGATCCAGCCAAGTCCAAACGCATTCCAGGGGATGTGTTCCTGATGGGTCAACAATATTTATCGTTCGAGGGCGGATACAAAATATATACAAAATATTTTTTCAAAATATTCAAAATATTTTTTAAAATATACACAAAATATTTTTGCACAGCTCTATTCCTTGAATAATTCTCTTCAACGCCTCATTCCTAGTTAAGCGAATTAGCCCACCCTGGTTGAATAAATAAGGCGATTCCGCCACAAGGTCGCGGAAAACCGACCGAAAAGGGCCGCGCTCAACGTTAATTTGGGCATGCACTCTTAAAAACTCGCATTGGGCGGGTAGGGTTTCCAAGGTATTGGCTCCAAAACACCGTATTCGGCTCCCGAATACGTCCAAGTGACCCGCCTCGTTCCTAGTTAAGCTCTAATTAGATCAAGTGACTCATAAGGAGCGAAAAAGCGACAAAAAGCATGAATTTCCCTATGGCGGCGGGCTGCCGGGTTGCCAGACGGCGCACCGGCTATTTCCACTTTTGACACACCATGAACTGCGGGTCCCTGTACCGACGCATAGGTCTTTTCAGATCGCTTCGCACCTCGAGATTTCTAGTTCAGATTCTCCATTTTCTACTTGACTAAGAGTAGTCAATACAAACCAAATCGGACTTATATGTGCCTAGCTAGTTATCTAAATACCATTGGTTTTTCGATGGTTACCCGTCTATCATCCCTGCGCTTCAATGCTTTGCTACGCGAAACCCTTTATCGTCCGATCGAGCCGTTCGTTGAGTGCAAACGGGCGGCAGACTGGGCTACCCTCCCAGTCAGACTTCTACTGCAGTGCTCGCTTGTTCGCAGTTCCGCCCGCGTCTCGCCGTCTCCCAGTGGCCTGTGTTACCCCCGTGTGATTAGTTAGTGTTAGTTACCCCAACTACAGGAGCATGCAACTCGACTGACGGAACCGTCTCTGCTCTGCTGTACCTGCAGCAGTCGTCGTCCAACAACCATGTTCACTCAGTGGTTCTTCTGTCGCCTGAGCAGTGAGTTGAAGAGGATCTCAGACCTATCCCATCACCGTCCCTCAACACGCACAGGCACCAATTCTAAATATACGTTTATTCAAATGAAAACAAGTGATCTTCTAGTACATTAAACACGTTGTTAAGGCACACGTTTGGCACAGATTCTCGATGTTCGGGGCACATAAGCTGAACAGGTTCGCGTGAAACACAAGCTGGTTACTGATTCCACTGGTCTGATTTACAATCCATCTAATTCACCAAGCGGATTCGCGACGCTGAATTCATGTAATTTGTGCTTATCTGTCGGTAAAACTGTCTGGGCTACTTCAAAGATAGTAAATTTTATGTGGAACCATAATTTAACAGTGAGTATGTAATTCAAAGGTTAATCTGAAAGCAAATCACTTTCTCTAAATCCGCAAAGCCTGTTTAAACACATAACAAGCGAGTCAAACATTAAAATAATAATTATCGACACAGCTAATCGAAAACCAGTGGATCAGTAACCAGTCTGGTGTAGGTATAGTTTGAGCGCTCCGGCAGCCATGACAAAGCCACGCACCAGAAAGTATGATGAGATTTCCGCTCCATAATTGCACATACAAACTGCCTGTCTAAAAAACAAAGCTGGGCTGAGATTAAGTACGTAGGCCTAGACGCCCACAGCCAGCTGCCACGTAAAATGAGGCTGGCGAGCGAACAAAAAGGTCAAGACTCCACTATGGCGCGAAAATACAAAAAATGCGCGGCAAAACACAAGTACAAATCAAACCACCGATGGCAATATGAATGTGCGTGGCGGCCGTGCGAGGCCAGCTCACCCCTTATAGTCCAATGTTGGCACTCAGAGTTGTACGCTGCGGAGCGGTGCCATGACCCATCCTCCCGCCGGACACCCACAATAATCTCAGAGGCGGGCTCCGGCTGCCAGCACAGAAAGGCGCGCCTAAAACCTGCCACGTCTGCTCATGATACTCTACTATTATAGAAAACTCCCCATACGGATTTTTCTCAGAAATAAATCTCGAAAATACCCAGGCGAACTCCGCACCACTCGAAAAGACCATGGCGAGAGATTCGTGGGCGGTGCGCGGCGACCAGATCTCTACTCGGCACCCGTTCAACTCGATTCGGCACTCTCACTCTCTCACTCACCCACTCACACACTCTCACTCACTCCCTCAGCTCCGCCCGTCGGCCGTCAACTTGCAGACGGCCCCGCTGCTCCGTCGGCGCTCCTCGCGGCGCGTGGCTCCGCCGGGCGATGGGGCGTTACGGGACGGTTAGCTCTGGCCGGCCAAGCGGACACATCGGCGGAAAAAAGAGAGAACAGAGTGTTAGTACGAGATAGCCGGGCGGGCGGGCGGGGTTCGCGGCACGCGTATGGTACACAGCACAACGACACCGGGCATTAGTGTCGGGGAAATGGTGTACCCGACCGCTGGCGAGAGGCGTTAATTCGAGAGCTAACGGGGCCCCGCGCGGCCGGCGGTCGGCGACGGGCCGGGACTGGCCGGCGTCGGCACCGCTCACTGCTGAGCGGAGCCGCCGCGGCACATGCTCCCGACCCGGCCCCCGCGCCGGCCACTCGATTTAGTGGGACGGTCGGGGCGTCGAGAGCTAGATGTAGAACCACACCAAAGACATTCTACACGAGACACTACAGCACCGAGTGAGAAATACGTCCGATCGAATACGATAGGAATACACAGAAGCCAGAAGTTCAGTTCTAAGCCGTTATTTGAGCTGCAGTGAGTTCTCTAAAAAGAGGCCGGTTTGATGCGGATTGACCGGGGAAAAGTGTTAGCCACTACGGGTTTAGCATTTATTATGAACGCCTCGAATGACCCTTACGTCCAGTCGCCTCTCAGCTGTCTTTTTTATTCGTAAAAACGGCAGACTCAAAGGTAAACATCTCAATGTATTGCTGAACGTTCCTCACAAGTCCCACAGCGTACCCGCGAGACACACGGCCCTGAACGGAGGCCCGTGGCTCCCAGAGGTGCACAGCGCTGAAATGGGCGGACCTCGGATCGCCTGACGCCAGCGGTCGGGGCCCAGACACAACCGAGGAGCCGACCCCTCCACATCTCCCCACAAAACCCATCGGAAAGACCAGGGCGCCACCGGAACGCCGATTCAATAGCAGCTCCGTAACAGTAAAACAAATACATATAGCCCCTTGAAGCTCAACATATACAATCCGCTCCAACACGACACCAAAGCAAAGTCCCCAGGAAGCTCGCTTACCAAATACAGAACTGTCGAGTTCTGATACATCACTTTGAATCATGACCAGTAAACATCATTCTCAAAGCAGTATGCTATCCCCAAAACACTGACCTCGTGGAAACAAGTAGGGCACAGTTGTGAAACACCAACTAACCTGCTCCGATCGAAGGAGGCGCAGGTGTCTGGCGAGCGCGCACGAGCTACATTTGTGACATGGAGCCCACCCGCTGGTAGGGGTGTTCGCGGCCCTGGGTCAGCATCTGACGGTGCTTGGAGGCGGCGGCACCTAGATCAGCGACAGCGGGGGCGTCACGACTGGTCCGGGCGGCAGACGGACAGAGACTGGACCGACAGACAGGAGACAAAGACCGGACAGACAGACAGACAGACAGACATTCACAGAGGCACCAGGAACACATGTAGAGTGGCGGAGGGAGCGAGAAAGGAACGAGAGAACGCCTCAATCAACCACCGCTCGGATAACACAGCCGGAGACTGATCTACCGGGTGAGCGGCGGGATCACATCTCCCACTTCTTTGTGTATTGCTCGGGTTTGGGGCGCCCACTTTAGCGCCTATGGACTATAAATAAACCCTCATTCAGATCCTCTATCAGGCCTCTTACAAAGCTTGCTTTCAACAATGAAACTACGCTTCGTGCGTAGAACATAGCTGACCGACATAACATTATTTGAGCTAGACGAATTTCGGTTAAAAGATCTCAAAGTTAATTTCCACTACGTTGAAGCGATGATATTTGACGGATGATACTCGCTGAGTTCCACTGGTAACAATTGCGATAGCTCATGTTGTTAACAATTTGTCTCCAGTAAAAGGAATGTTCCATGCCCATGGACTTTATCGACCGATTAATGTTTAGTAGCCAGGGTACCAAATTTATGACAAGTAGTACAGCTACTTTGTTAAATTGTTAGAATATCCTATAGTAGTTCATATTAAACCGAAGGGCAGCTGATATCAAACACATTGTCAAATATGAAATGTAAAAAGCCGCCTTAGGATGCTAGGACCAGTTACCTTCGTAAATCCGGATGGATCCAAGGCCAATGAAACTCCATAATCATTATCTGCTAACGCGGGAAGGCCCAGCGCTGCTCCTTCAACTTCACGAAACATTCCAATGCCAATGAAATGTGAGGGATAGAGCAAGCGAACTATGCCAAAGAACAGAGCTATAGTGTCACCGAATTGACTGAAGCGGGGGTCAAGATTAAGCAAACGAAAAAGGATACGGGGAGGACAAGTTGTGTGGGGATCACTGCCACATACCAGTTTACACAAAACCAGAACACGAAAAGCATTGCACTGACAACATACAGCCCAAAGACAATGCACAATCACCAATTACCTGACTAGACGCTGGTTCATCACTGTAACTTTCTCCGGGCTAGCCAAGTTACGTCTGAATTATCCACAACAGCATCATTGAAATCGAACCTCAACAACACCGAAAATGATAAACCAAAGTGGACATCAGATAAGCAGACACCAACTCAGCCCTTGCGAAACCAATTCGGCACATATAAAAGTAGAAACCAACTAAAAAGACCTGAATACAGCTCACAACTGGCCTGCCATTGCGAAAAATACCCGGCGTTCGGTAAAACAAACCACGGAGAAGCACCCGGGACGGACTCCGGCCGCGCCTCAGTCCCCGGCCGGGCTGCGGCGGGCCTCACCGCGCAAAGTACCCACCAGTGATGTCCGCCGCATAGTCGGAGAGCTGCAGGGGCGGCGGCGGCGCGGTCAGCTGCGCCTGCGCCGCCGCCGCGTACTGCGCAGCGTAGTCGGGCGCGTACTGGGCGTACATGAGCGCCGCGTCGCCGGCCGAGATGAGCGGAGGCGGAGCAGAGTTGATGAGTGCCGTGCCGGCGGCCATCCGCGGCGAGAGCATCAGCGGCGCGCCCAGCGAGGCCGGCGTGCGGCACATGGTGGTCATCAGGCCGCCCAGGCCGGCCATCTGACCGAGCTGCTGCAGCCGCGGACCGGCCGCGTCACCTGGCGGAGGGCGAGCGAGACGTGACGGGGTGGAGCGGCGGGGTGGGGAGCAGTGGCTGTGCAGAGTAACGTGGCCTCACGGCAGGTCATCGTCCAATATCAAGGGTCTCTATACAAGCGGATACACAATGTTACCTATACCATCATGGAGGGTACATTATGTCGTCTGTACAATTATGGTGTAAATAATGTTTCTTTAAACGCGATTTCAGCTGCACAGAAAAGACAATCATGCCTACATAAGCGAAAAATTTCATAACGTCTACAAATAATTAATGAGTGCTCAACAACAGACATTCTATGGCTGCTATACATAGGCATTTCTTTTTTCACAGCGGACATACACACGGTTCATGTAACCATACGGTTGTTGCATTTTAAATGTGAGGAGTTTCTTGAGTTCTGACTATTCGAAAGTACCAATCGCTCAGGGCTTTATTAGTTACTACCAGGAGAACGACGGATCACAGGCGGGATTACCCTAGGGGCGACGATTTCGGGCGCTAAAATTGCGTCTCTGGCTATATGGCGCCCAGGACCATGGCGATTCCACCATGAGCTCCGTAGTGCTCTGGGTGACTTCCCAGAGACCTGTGCCCGGTACCGGTAACATACCTGCACATCATCCAATCTTTTTTAGTGAAATATCTACATTGACTACCAGTCCAGCTCTAGATGAGGTTAGCTACGTGAATACGACATTCGTTAGTTTTTTACTAGGCACGACGAACGTCGCCATCACAGATAAGTCGCTGCGACTCATATCTACATTGTCACTGTTATTTGAGCAGCAGCCTGCGCTCTGCTCCTGGCACACATGAATACGAGTACTCTGAATACGGATCAACCAACAACGGCGCTTCAATATTCTACGGGTAACTCTTTCCCTTCAACACAGCTGCGAAGCACAGCCTCCACTTTAGCTACAGCATCCAAACGTTGTACCGTATCTGCGTGCGCCACAGTGTTACCTGGCGAGCCTGCCACCGGGACGCTGCCGGCGCCCGTCTGCTCGCTGCTTGGCTCTGTAAACAGGCACCACCCGTCTCACCAACGCGTCGTCCTCCGGCACCTGTTCGGCCCCGTACCGGGAGAGCCGCGAGGGACGGAAAGCACGGTATGTGCGCTAAATTCAGCCGCCGGCCGGGTGTCAGGAGAGCACTCGAGGGATTCGGTATAACAACACCCTGGAGAGCTCATGTCGAAGTGCTATCCTAGTGAGGACGGTACCGCGAAAAGACAGCTGGTGTCACTTAGCGGCTGGGATGAACTAAAAGTTATCCCTCTGCCGATAGGTGGCAGTGCCAACGCCTCCATCCATGGCACTCATACGGGGAACCTCATCTTTCTTCGTCAGTGGAAGGACAGTGGCATTTCCCGGGCCTCATGGTACATTTGAATGATCCATGGATGCCTGGTAGGTGTGCGTCGCCATAGGTGTCCGTCGGAGGCGATGACCGGGCTCCCGACAGAGGAATGAGGGGAGGGGGAGACGGTGAGGCCGCCAGCACGTGCGGGGGACGGCCGCCTCGCTGGGATGATACATGAGGTGTAGAAAGTTAGAAACATTCAAGTTCTTCATGAGGGTGCCTGCTGTGACAAATTCTAGAGATCTCGCCATCTCGCATAATACAAATTCAAGAGAAGTTTACGACGCCTCCCCCTAAAAATCCCAAAATCATCCCAACCTTGAGTATTCAGGTTTGGATAATTCCACCCTAACACGTAGGTAAGTGATCCCGGTGGGTCGGCATCACCTAAACCAACAAGCCTTTCGAGAATCACTATTTATCATTTTGATCACATAAACTCCACTTAGAACCAAAGCGGTGCCGTTCGTCATTTCTCACAACAGTCCAGTGCTCTATCAGCCCCGATTCAGCGCAGTGACGCGGGGGAGAGCGGCCACCCGGCGCACCCCACTCACTGCTCGAGTCCCGGTAGGTGCCGTTGATGATGGCCAGTTCCATCAGCTGCCGCTTCTTCAGCTCGTCTTCACCGTCCGCCTGAGGGCACACAGGGGTAGACGGGGAGTCAGACAGGGAATCAAACAGGGAGTCAGACAGGGAGACAGGGAATCAAAAAGGGAGTCAGACAGGGGTTAGACAGGGGTCACACAAGGAGTCGGACAGGGGTTGTTAGACAGGGGGTCACACAAGAAGTTAGACATGGAGCCATAGAGGGGCAGACAGGGAGTCAGACAGGGGTTAGGCCAGTCATCGCCACCGAGTATAGTTGATACCTTTATCTAAAAAAAAAAAAACAAGAGAAAGGGAGGGTCCGAGCTAGAGCGGAAACAAGAACAAGCGATAGAAAGCGATATTGAAGAATGCGGGAAAGAGGTCACCGGGAGGGAGAGAGGCCGTAAGATTCAGACAAGGTACGAGGAACTTAGTCAAGAGTCACAGGCTCTGCAGGGCTAGATTCGAGGCTCGAGCTCCATGCCAGCCAGGTCTCTTACGATTATACAGACTGTGAGAAGCATGACCTTATCGTTAACTCTCATCAAAACCTACTTCATGGGTTTAAAGTCTGCATCACTACAGGACACGAAAGAGGGATAAACACCAAACGGCCCTTAAATTCGAGGTCACACCACATGTGGATATTTCACTAACCCATATAAATCGACCGGAGATGGGCGGCGGCGCACGATATTCTCCAATTTCTGCTCTGAACGGCCCGCCCTCCACCCCTCCCTCCGGTCTCCGCAGGCCGCCCGAACACTGCGATTTCTGCATACATAAACGGCCCTATCGCGGCCAATCCCAGGCGCCGCCTCTCAGGCCGTGTTACATCAGACGGACTGCTGGAAGACGCCATCGCTGCTGTCGCCGATGTTTCAAAGAATTTCCAACATGATTGTATGATACGTGAGCAGCACTAGGAACAGCGAATCCTCCACATATTAAGAGATAGACCAGGGTGGTCGTTTATTTAAGTTACGCTGGAACAGGAAGCGCGAAAAGCGTACGTAGCAGTCGTCTGCTTTTCTTTCGTATTAATAAATCACAGCGAAATTACAGGAATAAATGTAGGCTAGCGGACCAGCGATATAACGCAGAAATTCGGCGCTTGCTTAAAAAAAAATTCACTCCAAAATCTCAGAATCAGACGGCTGCGATTATAGCACCGTCATCTAAACGTCATCAATCAATAACTTCGTGTGTTTACACTACGGGCACGTCGCACCAGTCATTTGCACCCACGAAAGTTTCTTTTTCAGTCGTCAAAAGTTAGCACGGTGAGAGTCGAGCGCTGGCCGAACACACTCCAGCTGTGGTGTCGTTCGCACAAGCGACTACACCATACCACGATCCAGCCATGTGACAGATAACTGCAGGTTGTTTGAAATAGACCAACACTCTTCGTTAGAACGGCGGTGTCGAGCTCGTGAAAACGAGGCCTAGCGCTTACACTCGGATCATATACGATATACAATGCACGCACATAGTCCTATATAGTCGCCGCTAGGGCAGGGGTCATCTGGTGCGGTCCCGCCCTCCTATGAGCGGCGGGAGCCGCAGGAGCGCTCTGTACTGGCCACACCACAGGGCGGACAGTCCCGCAGCGCGCCGGTCAGCGGTAAACAAACGGCCGGCGCCGGTCGCACCCTTCCGCGCGCCGGCGTCCCATGCCTCCTCAGCCGCCGGGGAGAGGCACGGAGACGCCGGCGCGCACCTCCCCTCCCCTCCCGCGCCGGAGAGGGAGGGAGGGAGGGAGGAATGTCGCGGCAGGGGAGACGCGGCGCCGCGGCGCACAACACGACCGCCCGGCGGCTGCCGGCCGGGCCCGGCGCAGGGCAGGAGACGTCAGTCCGGAGCTCCACACAGCGAGAGTAACCAACACACTGACACAGACTAGCCCTGAATACCTGTGCAGCCGTGGTCAGCCGTGTGCAGCCGTGGTCAGGTGCCGTCGGCCGGTGCCCGGCCCGGGCCCACAGACGGGGTGCTGCTGACCCCGATAGCTGGGGCGCTGGGCGGTGCCGGCAGGAGCCCCGGGCCCGCTTTCGGTCTTCGGGTCACGGTAAACACCCATACCGTTATCCAGATCAGTCTGTGGTCGCCATCTCGGCACTCGGTCATACCCAGCCCGGGCCCGGTGCAGACCCAGAGAGGTCTCCCGAGCCAGCAGGGTCTGTCTATGGTTCGCCTGTCCCCGTCCACGGTCTGTCTGTCTGCCGATATCTCAGGACCGGTGCGGTGTTTACTCAGCGGGGCTGGTCTGTCGGATGCGGCTAGTGGTGTCAATCGGTTACCAAAATTTCGGTATACCGATACCGAACCAATACCGATTCGGTATTCGGTATTATATACCAAAAGCATTTGGTATTTTGTCGGTATTATGAAAATCAACTACTACCATAAAAGATTTGAAGCATTTTTGATAAACCTTCTGAACTCAAATTTGATTTGCTAAATGGTATTGGATGAAGAAAAATGGCAATCATGACACATTTCTCCCAAAGCATGATGTCCTAACAAATGGGCAAACATGTTAGCAGTAATATCAAACACACAAGTCTACCAATGTTAAATGGCAACTTATCAGTGCTAGCTTACTCCAATACCATGAGAATAATTATCTTACAAAGAAAGCTAATGTGGAAAACAAAATCATGTATTAATGTTTAACTTACTGTATGCTGGAAAACATACTTTAACTATCTTACTAAAAATTTCCAAAGCATTTATCAGCAACAAATTTGACTTTGTTTTGAGGAGTCTGTGATTGATCTTGACCCTGTCTTGCTCTACATTTCACTGCAATGCAAGTACATTATCCAAAACCCTGTTTTATACAGCACTAGCTTCACCATTATCATCTAATATTAAGGGCAGCATTTATCACTTCATCACCTCACAAATCCTCAACTTCCCTCAATTTCAAACTGGACTGAGCGATCCTGTGGATAATTTATTTTCTTTAATTAGTGTTCACTTTCCTGCTCTCCTCAACAGATAGAGATCGCTAGCAATGTAATCAAAAGCATTCCTAAAATATGATTGGTTTTTGGCTTGATTCGCGCACAGCTGTTTCAAAATTGAACACATTTAGTCAAAAAAAAATTTAATGTCGCAGCTGCGCCAAATACTGATTTAGCACAAAAACTTTAGTTTTTGAATTGAAAATAATTGAAAAACTTTGTTTTTCTTGTTCTTCATTTTTCAGCAATAGCAGCCTTAAATCTTTCTTGAAATAATTTAAAGATTCCAAAAACAAATACATAGAATTTTTGACTTAAGTTTTCTAAGGCAAAAAAGAAAAAACTTTCTTCTATACAGCTCTGTGCCATGCAAATTGCAAATGGCCGCCGCCATTGTGTAAGAGATGACACGTGACATGTGTCAATGCTTCCGTAACATTATGGACATTTTACTAAGCTTTCATCGCGATATCATTACAGTGGTGTCTGCTATCTATCAGTGTACCTCGTAAGTAATTATTTAGCAAATTTTGTTGTGTTAAACATTTGTTAATGAAGAAAAATTGGCTGCGTCAGTATCGTCACCATCGCTACTTGGGTTGAACTCTAGGGGTATCATGGATTTTGTTTACATTAATGGTATAGCCCATCATTGTCAATAGGGTCACCATTTTTGGATCATGATAACACACTTAACCCTGCCTTGACCGGACTCGAATTGAATGACTTGAATTGAAACGTTTGATGGTTCGCCTTGGATGGTTCAGGCATGGCCTCAATATTGACTCAATATTTGTTAACAGACCTCAATATTTGTTTATAGTTACACAATGCAGTTATAAATGTGTTTTTCTTTCAATGCAAATTATTTAGATATTCCTTTTTTTGTTGCCTTATTTTAAAGTATTACCTTTCAATGCTTATCATAACTATGTCTTGAGAAAGTTTGAAGCGTTTTTTTTTACTGATTTTCTGAATTCAGTATCTAGTCGGTATTTCCCCCCTATTTCTAAAAATCGGTTCGGTTTTGGTATATTCTCAGTGGTTTTGGTCGGTATCGGTTTGGTATTGGTTTTCAAAATTTCTGAAATTGACATCACTAGATGCGGCCCCTCCCGCGGCGGCCGGTCGAGCTGTGACCCGTCAGTGGTCGGCGGAGGGCGGTCGCCGATTTGGGGCGGCGGCGTGTCCATCCGACCAGCGGCAGCTGATGGACGGCCGGGCGCGTCGCCAACGTCAGCACCCGAGCGGCGGCGGCCGCCTCAAAAACGGGCCGCCGTGAATCCGCCGCAGCTTTTTAAAGAACGGCCCGACCCCGCCGCCAGGTCACGCATAACTCCGAGCGGTGTGGGGTAACCGGTGATCGTGATGATCGGCGATAACATTTTAAAGGCACTTGTGCGCGAAAGGTGCACTGCAGGCTAGAACGACCCTTTCCCAATCGCCCCAGCCACCCTGAAGAGCTGTGGGAACATCACCAGTCTTTGAGCAGTTTCAGCTACGTCGCTCTAGCTAAACGCATATGCACCGCCCAGGGTAAAATGGCGAGCCTTGTAGTTCCTACGAAAGCCGTTCGTAACTCGCAGAGAAGAACGGTCCACAGTGAACGGCCGGACACGGCACGCCGGACTCCGTGGCGCAACGCCTCTCCTCCCTCCCGGAGCGTCCGTTGGACACGTGCGGCGCGCTGCGTTTGGCCGGTGCACGCGGACAGGCCACCCCGTCTGCAGACGTGGCCACATCTGGAGCCAACGTGTGGCAGTGTGTGGTCAGAAGGGCGCCGTCCCAGCTGCTCAGCCGGCCGGCGAATTTACGGCCCTCCTGGCGTCACACTGTCCGCCGTCCGTCCATCTGGCTGGCTGGCTCTCCGGACCACCGTCTGGCTCCCCACAACTAACTCATCTACCCACCTCATGGTTCAGCACCAGTCCGCAGTTGCTTTCCTTCTGAACCCGACCGTCTTCCCATCCGCCCCAAAAAAGGCTGGTGTAGCCAATCTCGCATTCGACTTTTCCATTCCCCGCCATCCCTCATTGGGACAGTCTGAAGCACTTCCTCCGTCCTCAGTCGTTTCCAGCTTTGCTCTCCCACACCTCAGCCCCCATTCCACACCTCAGTCCTACCCTCTGTTCCCTACCCCATACTTCAGGCGGCCGTTCTCCCCGCTCGTGCCACTCCCGTCCGTGACCTGCCTCACCGTCCGTTCACTGCCGCCGGAGGGCCACCAGAAACGGAACGCCATCAACTTCGTTAGCGGAATGACGGGCACTTTTCTTCGGCGCACCTCTGCGCGAGCTACCGACGCTGACATTCCAGGCTTGAGGCGCCCCCACCGGGCGGTTTTTCAGGTGCCTCCAAAGAACGGTTTCGCCATCCTTTCTACCATTGTTATGGGAAACTAGTGGATGCACTCTGCTTCAGTATCAGACATCAGTGAGCAGCAAAATCTTCCTTTGGCAAGCAAACACCAAGAAGGGTTGAGTGACCGTTCACCTCTCTGCGGCAAACTGACAGCCCGCAGCGGGCGGCTGGGACCGCGCGGCGCACGGCAGTAACACCGACAGACGAGCCGCGCATACTGAAACGGCCGGTCGCCGACCGCAGGACAGCGTGTCACGCTGAACCGTCCACCGCCGGGACCAGGTAATCAGAGGTCAGCCGTCAGCATAGAATAGGGGAAGGTGGGGTAAGACGGACCAGCTAAGGTTTGAGGCCGCATATCTTGCTACACTGCTCTCGTAATTCATATTATTTATAGTCTTCGGAATGCTCAATCCTTCCTCTGTTGATATGTGTAAAGACTAAATTTCAAATTAAAGACATCTAGGTGGTGGATGCTCTTAAAGAGGGACATGTCAAAAACTCAGACAAGAAAAAACGTGGGGTAAGACGGACCACCCAGCAGTGCCTGCTATCCGTTCATGTGTGTTACACTTCTGCTCTGTACTCTTGTAAGAAAAAGTAACCAGAATGGTAAAATAACAAAATGAGCCTTTATTCTTTACTCATGTGTGATGGAAGTGCAGCTAAAAGCTGGGAACATGTGTGTTGATTGTCGTTTGGCATGAATGCATGCTAACTGAGCACTTGCATGCATGGCTCACATGCAACAAAGACTCCTTCCTGAAAAATTAGCTTACTTAAACTTGTGTCAATGCTTTGGAAAAGAACTTTCCATATGCAGGGTACAATGGACCACCACAGGGTAAGATGGACCACAGTGGTCCGTCTTGCCCCAAATCTAAATTCTGTCATTATTATGACGTATATTATGTCAAATAGCCCAACATTGCAAAACCTTGCCTCCATGCAAAACCTTGCCTTTCCTAAAGTGTGACTATAACTAAGTTTATAACTTTGTTCTTCACAGTTAAGTGCAAAATAGAAACTAATCATGCAAGAAAGGCGCCGTAATTGAATCACCCGTAGACCTCTTATATTAGATCGGTTTGACGAAAAACAACATTTTTCTCAATAACTCAAAAGCTATGCATCCTAGCAGCATGAGCTCAAGGTGGCCATTGTTACGAAGGAAAACAAACATAGTGAGTGCATTAAGCAGTAGATACCAGCAGCGGTTCAGCCGGGAGGGCTGGTGGTCCGTCTTGCCCCGCTGGGCCGTCTTACCCCACCTTCCCCTACAGGTTACCAAGGTCGAAGAAGGTCGCCTAAGGTCGAAGGATGTTTGCGAAGGTCATGATCTGTCGTCCCAAGATACACTGCCCACTGCCCGGCCCAGTGATGGATCTGAGCTGCCCTCGGTACCTCCCGTGATGTTCCCTTGCTTCCCAGCTGGTCAACACCGCCAGATGATACGGGTTTAGCACGGAGATCGGCCCCTCTCGAGCACATCAGCGGGGTAAGGGGAGGCGACGGAGCGGACCGGGGTGATACCAGAGGGGAGCATTCATTCTGGCCAGGGTTCATAATGTCCAGGGTACGCTATGCCCAGTGTCAAAATGGCCAGTGCCTTGAATGGGCCAGAGTTCATAATGTCCAGGGATTGCATGGTCCAAATGTGGCCAACTGGCTGCAGATAGGGTATATTCAAAGAGGCCAGGGTTCATAATGTCCAGGGCACGATGTGTCCAGTGTTCAAAATGGCCAGGGTTCATAATGTCCAGGGCACGATGTGTCCAGTATTCGAAATGGCCAGGGTTCATAATGTCCAGGGCACGATGTGTCCAGTGTTCAAAATGGCCAGTGCCTTGAATGGGCCAGAGTTCATAATGTCCAGGGATTACATAGTCACTGAAAGTGACGTCATTATGTAAAAAACACGGAATCAGCTCAATGCAAAGCAGTGCAGTGCCGAAGGCAATGCCTTAGGAGAGATTACAGGCAATAGTAAATCAAATATTTTTAGGTTAAGTGGTTATGTATCTGGCTTCAGGCCGAAGGCCTGAAGCCTGATGCATAACCACTTAACCTAAAAATATTTGATTTACTATTGCTTGCAATCTATTCATGCGAGAAACTATTTCCTTTTCCCTGGTAGGCAAACATCATTACCTTAGGTTAGGTTAGGTTAGGTTAGGTTAGGTTAGGTTAGGTTAGGTTAGGTTGGGTTGGGTTGGGTTGGGTTGGGTTGGGTTGGGTTGGGTTGGGTTGGGTTGGGTTGGGTTGACTATGTAATCCCTGGACACTATGAACTCTGGCCCATTCAAGGCACTGGCCATATTGAACACTGGACACATCGTGCCCTGGACATTATGAACCCTGGCCATTTCGAACACTGGACACATCGTGCCCTGGACATTATGAACCCTGGCCATTTTGAACACTGGACACATCGTGCCCTGGACATTATGAACCCTGGCCTCTTTGAATTTACCCTATCTGCAGCCAGTTGGCCACTTCTGGACCATGTAATCCCTGGACAATGTGAACACTGGCCAATTCAAGGCACTGGCCAATTCGAGCACTGGACACATTGTGCCCTGGACATTATGAACCCTGGCCTAAATAATACGCACCCATACCAGAGAGGGTGTGAGGGACGAGAGACGTTGGGGTCATGGGGGACGGTGCGCCGGCGCCGGCCGCGTCTGACGGCGCAGAGTCGTCAGCACGGTCAGTAGCTGAGATGGAGGTGGCGGCGGCGGTGACTGCGCTAATGGCGCAGCCGCCTCCGTGGAGATGGGCGCGAGCACCGGTCGCAGACCCACACTCGAGGGAGGCGAGGAGGGACAACACACTGACAAACAGGACGTGCCACGCGGCCACAGCTGCTGGTGCGTGGAGTCAGGGGCAGTGGGGCTAGTCCAGCGTGACACATTAAAATCAATCAGGGTCTATGGACTCTGCATGTAAAAAAAAAAAGAGAAAAAATACGGGACAGTCCGCTCGGAAGATTACGACGCATGTAGAAATACCATCGAATGTGTCCTCCTGCTGATCTAACATTAATCATTATCGATATCCGATATTCAACCAAATAAATGTGGAATCATGCATGTCCTGTAATGCCCAGTGCCCACCCACTCAGTCAAGGCCTTGAGTTGGTTCCTTACCGATGGCACTAAGAGTTTCTTGATCTCTTCGACGGCCCGCTGAATCTTGGCCTTGGCGCGGTTCTCAGAGTCCTCACAGGTAATGAGCACGTGCAAGTCGTCACTGAGGTGTTCCCAGTTCTGTTTACCCCTGTTCATCTCTTCCTGTGGACGGTGAAAAGGGAGGGGGTCAGAACAAGACTTCACAATAGGGCAGACCAGGTGACGAACGGATCACACCTCTCAAGTCATCAAACATGGCTAAAACAGACGATTATTTTTACCGCTCCTTCAAGAACAACCAACTGGCTCAAAATGACCGCATTTTTGGCGTCCAGGGAGCTCTGAAGCAAGTAACGCGGACGGGTGGACGGGCCATCCCTCACACCGTGTCATATCGGCCGGCGGGGCCGTCACCGCTGCCCTCAGTGACCTGACACCGTGGGACCACCGGTGGACGGCGGTCCCGGCGCCAACACTAACGGTCGTAACTCGGCCCGGGCCGGTCAGCGCTCACCGCCGACGGACATTTCAGAGGGGGAAGGGGGAATATCACACATCTGCCCTGGCTGCAGTGGGAGTAGGAAGAAAGAGACGCATCGGTGACATAGTATGGTGCATAGATCCAAATAAAACCGCCCGGGGTGTATAATGAATGCTCCAGTTTAGAGACATTGACATTTCAATCTTTAATATAAAAATGATGTGAATGTCGCTAGACACGGGGTGTCATAATTTTCAGGACTGCACTGTAAATAGCTGAGCTTTAATCACAGGCGTCGATTTTCATCAGCCACCTGCCAAAGATGACTCGCATCGCTGGGCGTCGACAGCAGCCAGCGCGGGCTGCTCGGGACTGCCTCGATCTCCATCAAGATCTGTCATATCTACCCTATCACTAAGGCATCTCGGTATTCTGGGGCGAATCGGAAGATCGCTGGGCCCGGAGATCGCATCTACCGACCGAGACGGGCGCGTGTCCAACACACGACCCCGTTTGATGCCGACTCGGGGTTAGAGGCCGGCCCGCCGAGCTCCCAAGCCACCGACACGGCCCTCTACACGGCCAGATCCGGCGCGCGCTGATACGATACGGCAAATTGCACGTCACATCGGAGCGTGTCCAAACCGTCGGCCGCCGATCGCTAATTTCGTTTGAAGTTGATTCGGCCGTGTGGCGGCAGCGCCGGGCCGCAGGCGCGGTGTTGGCGGCGGCCCAGCTCTGCAGCAACGCTCGACTGACGTGGGTCCACAGAACCTCGCTGGAGACGGGTCAGGGCAGGTCATCGCTCACGGCGCCACGGCATCCGTCACGGCCGATTTAATATGGCCGCCGTCAGCGGTCGGTGACCGGCGCGGCCGACCACAGGCGAATTGAGTGTCATCTCCACAGGACGGGCGCACTAATTGAATGTAACCAAGTCAGGTATTATTTATGACACTGGCGCAGTACCAAACCCACTCCGTGTCTCCATACGGCGAAGAGACGAATTTCGATCTGTTGATTTATCGATTTAGAGGGGAACTGACGAACGCTTCGATCACTTGGCGGCTCTCTAATGAGGGAGCTGTTTTTAGGAAGACTGATCGGAGGGAAAACGTCCAAAATTAGCCGGCGGACTGGTTCCAAAAATTCCTGGCCGGTCGCTGCGGGCGGATTCAGCGCTCCAACTACTATCACAACACCTGCAGTTAACACGAAACAGCCCTCCAGTGAGCCGAAACAATCCGGCGTCGTCTACAGGGGAGCCCCAGACAACGTGGCACGCTCTACCCAGTGACAGTTCGCCCCAGGTATGCCAAGGTATGCTGAGGTATGCGGGGGTTTGTCAGGTGAGCCACGATGGCCAAAACACCACCCTCGCCAGCGGCGGGCGCGGAGAGGGGCAGGAAAGGTAACCGGCAGGTGAACGAGAGAGGAGCAGAGAGGAGGGGAGAGGAGGGGAGGGGCACCGGGCCGCCCGGGCCACTGGCCAGTTCTGCCGTTTTGCGTGCCAGCCGATTGGGCCAGATCGGTAAAATATCCGTGCCAAACAGCCCCCACCTCCCCTTCCACCCCCATCGCTGTCGTCGGCCTCACTGCGGCCATCCATAAAAACCAGCTCTGCGCGCCCGCCACAGACCGTTCGAAACCTGCCGCCGTGTGCGCAGCTCGGTAACGAATCAGCAAATCGGCCGACCAGCCCGGCCCTAAAATAGAGCGACTGAGGAACCGCCGCCGGCGGTGGTGGGCGGCGAAAAACGCACCTCCTGGCCTCCCAGCGGCGGCAAAACTCCGCCAGCTGGCAGCCGGTGCCGTGGCCCGGCCGGCCGCGAAACGGGCCGCTGCACTGGTTCGTTAGAGCGGAGGTGGTCCAGACGGGATCAGAGCGGCGCGCAACTGATCAGGAGCGGCGCGGGGTGATCAGGAGCGGCGGGGGCTGATCAGGAGCCAGCAGGAGAGGAATCTCGGCGGACGGTGCAGGAAAAACGGTTCACTGTGGGAGGAAAGGGATGGAGGACGGTAATTTGTGATATTTTCTGACCATAAGCAGTCACGAGAGAAAAATACATGCAACATACATTTACTAGCAAATGAGATGATATGTATGTGAGCATTCATCGTTCCGATTTAATCAAGACTACCAAAAGCTGTTTCAGTGGACATTACTCGACAAACAACATACACACAAACATAATAACCATTGGGCTGAATAATCAAGTAGATGAATTAGTTGTCATTAAAACCGATCTTACCTATTGATCATCAATTCCTGGGTGCGTGAAACGGAACAGAGCACAGGTTAACAACTGGTGGTACCGTCAGCTACAATCACATCACGACCAGCGGTGTCCGGTAGCCGTAGGAATGGTTAATCACGCACAACGAGTCATACAGCAGCAGGACAACAACAAGGGGACAACAACAACAACACGAGTATAAGTAATGGAAACAAACATCGAGAGGATGGCAGTATAAAAATGAGTCACAGTGAAATACATGAGGGGAAGGGCAATAAAATAAAACATCTGCCTGGCCCCGACACAGCAAAGTAATCTTGACACAGCCCACAAATGTACATGCTACTAAAATGACACTGGTCAAGTATCTCCAAAGCACACAAACATAGCTGGCTTGATTAAAATCCAGAAAATGAAGAAGGGTGGGTGAGTAGATACAAGCAGTAGCGGAATGATGAGTTGTAACGCGTCATGCATAAATGGAAGTCAGCATCAGATCACGGGCAACGAGTCAGGTCAACAGCAAGTAAGGCCGCAACAGTTCGGGTAAGGACTATGCCTACTAGTCATGAGTCAGTCAATGAACAGTGTCACCAATCAAGTCCCTTGGAATGTCAGAGCCGTTATCAACCAGTCCCTGGCTGTCAGTCGCCCCGGCATCTAGCGAATCCAGTCCCGGCTTCCCTCATGACCGCTCCCACGGGGTTCGGCTGCGGTTTGGGTCACTGTCCCAGCCACCAGAGACCAGGGACATTGGAAATACAGTGATACGTTCAATTTAGCCGAGCACTGCTCCGATCATTGATAATATAATTAGCTCTTCACTCTTGTGGTCTTTCAACAAATTATGACAAGCACCATGGCGTGTTATTGAGAATCAAACATTAACATCACCAAGGCCCAGTTCACCGCACGAAAAATCTGAATGTCGAGACGAGATTACAAAACTAATCACCTACAACAAAAACGACTGAAAAACGCTGACCGACACCAGCTCAGAAATCCATTCCGAAGCAACCACGGGTGGTGCATCCGTGGAGCCTGGCAAAACCGGTGGAAGACTGCCAAACGGGGCGGGCCGGGATCCCTCATTAGCGGGAACACGCCAGAGAGGGAGCTCGAGAGCCGGTCAGGCCCGTCTCGGTGACTTGGACTCGTTCTCCGTCCCTAGTGTCCCGCGGACGGCGCGGTGGGGACAAATTGCCAGGTGAGCCGACAGGATAGAGCGGTCACCGCGTTGCAGCACGACGGGGGGGGGGGGCGGTCGCCCGGCGTCGGCTGACGGCTGTTGAACACGCGTCAGCCAGTTACCGGACTGCTTAGAGTTGGCAACGGTGCACCAATCCTTCCGGTGCGGCCGCTTAAGACGAAATTCCTGACCACTAACGGCGCCATGCCTGCGAGGGTATGGCTTTGATCTCACAGCCGGGACGAACTGTCAACAGGCATCGTTAGCGAATGCATAACTTAATGCAATGATCGCAAGGGAAATGCACCCATGCTATTTCAAATTTAAAACGTGGAAAACGAAGACTCCAGTCCAAATCCAATATCGGTGGGTACTGGGTACTAACTCCAGCGTTCGAGGTGTTCCTGCTAGTCACTCTGCGAGGACTGGCCCGACTCCTGATGTTTCTTTAGTCCATGTGACTAGCCAACTGCTGGCACTTTGTTTCTCAGCAAATATCTGGGTGGAGGTCACCACCAAAGCCGTATCAGCTGCCGGCTTAGCGTAAACTGCCTCCACTCCGACCGGACTTAGCGGGCTGGCCGATCCGCTCAGCGTGTCAGGCAAGCCTGGCGCTGAGCCCTCGAGACAGAAACCACAGTTCGCCCTCTCCCGCCCCACACACACGAGACGTCATAGGCTGGGGGCGGGATCATGGGTGGCGCGGGCCGCCCTATTCGGGTCTCAGGCAGCGCGATCCCAGCTTCTCTTCTCCGTTCAGCGAGTATCTATCCCCGTTCAGCAGACTCGCAGACTAAGCTCAAACGGGTCTCAGTTGTCTCAGTTTTTTACTCTTTACAAGCTGAACGGGTCAACGGCTTCTCATTCATCGAGTCTCAGCTGCTTAGGTCCGTTTAGTGAGTCTCAGCCACCTTCGTTCCTCGCTTAGCGAATCCCCGCCACTATTCAACGAGTCCCAGCCCAGCCTTTTCGGCCGGCGAGTCTGACTCCAAAACCTGATGACGTTTAGCGACTGCCCCCCGTTCAGTAGCCGGTACACCACAGCCGAGAAGGACGGCTCAAGGTCGGTCGACCGGAGAAGAACAGACGCTACTGACTGGCAAAATCCGGCACTGCGCACCAGGAGGCGTCAACACCAGGGCACAGGCCTACCGATCGGACGCTGGCACGGGGTGGGGGGGTCTGAACAGACGCACTACCGTCAACAAGGCCCCATGAAGCACCTTATCAGGCTTGTGCCGATTTACTGAACTTTCCCGATGCTTCACGGATTCGTTTTCCGTCACCAGGTTATCTATTGAATAATTGAATTTGCTACATTCCGGTACGATAGAAAGTTCGACCCTTCAGCGAGGAAGCGTTGTTTCCAAACAGAAAACATCTCCCCGTGAAACAGGCGGTGAGTCGAGCTGACACAGCACACCGGTCAGTCTGGTCTCATCTCGATCTCAGTTGCAGGTGGGAGGCGACCGCAGGGACCGGGACCACCCTCTCCATCACCCGACCTTGGGGCGTCCGGCCCGGGGGAACGTATAGATTCCGACCAGAATGTATTGCAGCGGCCACGGACGGCTAGATGGATGGCTCCCGATGACAGCGATCGGCACAGACGATACGAACATGTCGATTTACAATTCTGGAATGGAGTAAATGGAGAGACGATCTGTCTGTATCGGTGAACTACCATGCAACAATCTAAGAAGATTTATTGCATGAAAACGGAAACACATATCAAACCTGTAAGCAATAGCGTGAAGGAATTCCAAGGCCGACCCATATTCGGAATAAAAACTAGCTGTTAACCGGATCTGCAGCCCAAAATGTTTCGTGTTTAAATGGGCAGACACTGTCACGGGCTTCATAGTTACGTAAAAACGTCGCGGACATATAAAAACGGACCGGAAAGGATGGAAGGCGAGCGGCGACGTAACCTCCATATGGCCACATTGGCGGCTCCCTGACATCGCAGGTAGAACTAATAACCGGTCAGCAGGGGAGGGGTAGCTTACGTAATTCTGAAACAAGTTGAGCAATTACACAAAAGGGGCTTACCACAACGTTGTATACTAGGTATGGCCATTTTGCGAAAAACAATACAATTTACTAACACAATGGAAGCCATCTTACATCAAGCTAAAGAAAAAAAATAATGAAAAGCGATTAATTTCAAATCATATAGACGATCATATAGACGGTCATATAAACGATCAACAAAGTGGCTGACGACTCATCACCGCGGAATTCACGACCCCGCCCACCGCATTCTGTGACCGTTAGCGGCACATCCGGCCGAGCCCAGCGGCTCCCACCGGTCTCCAGCCCGAGGGCGCCCATCTCGGCACTGTGCGGACTGCAGCGGTGCGCTCCGACGGGCAGAGGTTACCACCGCAGGTCACTGAGCGGTCAACAGAGACGGTGCGGGGACGACGCTGTCCCGCTGAGTGATACTTGTGTCGGCCACGGCAACAGGCAGACAGCGCAGAGCCATCGGTGACCTGACTGGCGGCACAGAGGCAGTGCCGGCACGGCCTGCCGCGTGGACAGGCTGGTTTCTACAGAACTGAGGGTAGGACCACACGCCAGCACCGCCTCTGAGCCGACCATTGTGACCCAGAAGCTGATTCAGCTAAACGCCAATCCTACCCTCTGAACGGAGGCCGCCGACGCCGCCGCGCTCTGCCCGCCGCGGCGGACGCGGGGCAGCGGTAGTACCTCCTCCTCTCACCCTCTCTCCTCTCCTCAGCCGACGCGGCACCCCGCCGCGACGCGTCACCCGGCGCCGGCGCCGGCCGCCGAGAGGTCAAACGCCGCCCGGGTCGCGCCGCGGCTGTAGGACAGGGTGCCGGCCCGCAGCGGCGGCACGCGCCCTCACGTCCGCGCGGAGCAGTGACCCCGAGACGGAAGGCCGGCCTCTCCGTGCACGCCGGCGCAGGTGTGCAGTGTGCACGTGGACCGTGCAAGGGTGCCGATCACGCCTGACCCGCCGCCGGCCAGTATTGCTTTCATCATACCAGCGGCAGGCAAATCACAGCGATCATTCGATCAAGGGTGCAGATCGAAGGCAATGCGCAGATCCTGAAGCCATACAGATATCGCGAAGCCCCGGATAAGACCTCGCTAGCTATCCATCTGTATGAATTGTTTGAAGAAAAGTGAGGATTTTCATGTTCAAATGTTCACAATCAAATATACTGTGTTTGGCCCGACCGGCGGCGACTGTCGCCTGCCGCTGTCTGTGCCTGTGCCATCTCGGTAGCCTCGGTTACCTCAGGCAGCTCAGGCGGCGCTGTGCTGTTTCGGAGACGATGGAAGATCGCGCTGGGCTGGGCGGCTGCGGTTTCTGTCTGACTAAGCTATACTAGTATACGTCGATCGTCTGGTCCAGCTTCAATGGAAGGAGACTTACCCCTTAGATCGTAAATAGTCCAAGTACATAAATATACTGTCTTCTGTCTCATGTCTCGTCCCCATCCCCTTCTAGTTTTTGTTTCTCTTGTCCGTTATGCGCAGTTAATCAGCACAAAGCAGCATTCGAACAGCTTATAATCCACTTCAGATGCATACGCCACATTTCTCTAGAAACCACACAACACGCCTCATTCAGGTTCAATGCAATTGCAGGCTGTTAGGGTTTGCCACCGTTTCCAACACGGATACTGACCTTTTTCTTATCCCTCATGGAGCCCCGTCCGCGGACCATGATTTTACAGCCGGTTTCCTGTTCGAGTTGTTTGGCCGTCATGCCGCGGGGGCCCAGAATCCGGCCGACAAAGTTGAACTGAAAAACAGACGGGGAACGTCAGAAAATGAAATAAACTAAAGTGAACGACGATTGAGGAAATTAATCAAATAAAACTGAAATCGAAATAGCGCCACAGGCACCACACAGACAATAAGCAATACAAGAGACACACAAAAACACCCGTTTGAATAAAGAAAACATCAGATGAGCATCAGCACATGATCGGAACAAGGCCTAAGAAAACTTCCCCTGACGAGGCAGTTATAACGTCGGACAGTGTAACCCGCTGAGTTGATACACATGCATATTGGTTGGAGGCCAAGATATTCATGACACTGTTCCGTCTTGTTAACACTCTCCAATTTTCCTTTGATTGCTGAAATGCTATGCAAGTGGGCACCTTTTTCTAGACTAACGACACATAAATACGAGTATATTGAACACAGGTGACGTAGACACTAGACAGCAACCATGCTGTGCCCGTGCCACGGCACTCTACGTGGTGCACACAAGCTCATAGACCTATTCAGACGTCAAATCATGGGTTTCCACTGAAACCTGCTCTCCGGGGGATACAGGAAAGCAGACTGAATGTATGTGCAGGTATATGTAACTCTGCCCGAAAATCACGTCCAATGTTCGGCCTTGAACGTGACGGCTCTGTGTGACATTGTGACGGTGACAGCGGCTCTGAGGACGTGCCGTCACGTCACGTTCTGTAACGGATCAGGGGGGTTCGGGGGGGGTAGAGGGCGCCCCTGCCGGTCCTTAGCCCCATCGATAGCACAAACGCTCCGCTGGAGAGCCCTTCAGCGCCAGACAATACGCGGGGCAAATAATAATGGGATATGAGGAGCCAATAATTAGTGGCCGCAAAAGAATAGTAGGCTGAGGTATTTCTGAAGACAACAGATCGTGGAGCACAATGGTGGGAAACCGTCCCACATAGCGGCGGATGTCCTACATAGACACAAGACAACCCTGCTAGAGAAACTAGATAAAAACTGCCAGCTGGTAGGGCTAATGTTGAATAATTTGCGAGAAAAAAAATGCAAGCCACACAAGCAGTTCACGTTGCAGTAGAAACTATCTAAACATTTCTCCATCCCCTGACCCAGAGCTTCCCTGCTCTCCTCTCGCTAGGCGCCCACGCGGACCAGCCAGTCATTCATCATATCGCCTCTGCCTGGGGCCGAACGCCCGGCGAGCGTCTCTCGACCCGAGTGGCCCGAGTGAAAACCAGATAAACAAACGGTCGATTGGATCGCCACGGTGAAACGCGTCCAAAACGGTGACCACTTTCTCCGGGGCGTAGCCGCCGCACCCGCCCACCGCCCGCCGCCCAGTGTCTACCGCTGCCCACCGCCCCAGCCCTTCACCTACCGCCCATCGCCCATGAGCCCACCGCCCCAGCCTACCACCCACCACCCCGTGCCGTGTCATTCGCGGCCAGTCGCTGTCACACGGGAGAGCTTGATGGCAGGGTGTGCCGGTCATGGGTGCCGAGCCGCTATAGGTCATCACGAGAGGTCATCGTAAGAGCGGCGCCGGCTGACCCACTTCGGTCCGGGTGTGACACGACACCACCACGCCGCGGGACACCGCAGGGGAGCTGACACGACACTGACACAGGCTGACAAAGGTTGACACAGGCTGAGACAGTCTGTCACGGGGTGGCACAGGCGGTGGAGCGCGTGACACGTCTGATTGGCTAGACGGCCGGCCAAAGGCCTTATCACTGTCAGGACGGGGTGGATAGTGAAGTCAGAGATAGGATGGGTAGGTGGGGACCAGAGCCTCGTTTCATAAAGTGAGTCCGTAACTTACGCCAGTTTTTGGGCTTGTATTCCAAGCGAATGTGAAGCGATAAATCTATTTCCCCTTCTCCCTTCTATCCAAACTATCGTCATCGCTTCACATGCACTTTCAATACAAGACCAAAAACCAGTGTCCTGATTTTCGTGAATTTGGGTGGAAACCCACACCCGAACAGATTCTCTTTGCGACGTCCCGGAAAACCAAACGACGTCCCTGACAGATAAAAGTCGACAGGTATATCGAACACTAAAAGCAAACTAACAAAAAGAAATATCACCTCTGTGGCCTAAAAACACAGCTATGCAAAATGATAATAAATATATCCCAAGGCCTCACAAACCCACATACTCAACTCCCGTTTCCTACACCGCTGGCAAGGCCATAGACCGCTGGCCAACTGCCCAACAGTAAACAACGCGGTTTTATTTTCGTTTTCTGTGCGTCAGATATGTATAGTTTTTTTTCCTTTATCATGTGAAGGTAATAGCTGCCATATGAAGGAGAAAAGACGTTGGAATAGAGGGATCTGAGGACGTCGTTTTCCACTTTTCAGTTTTAGTAACTGTGCAGTGTATAGATAAAAATGAATCATGCGAATATATTACTTCGACATTTATCTATAAGCACACAACATACCTTTTGTATCAAATCACTGTAACATATTTAATTATTTTTTCCCCTCAGAAGGTCACAGTAACGGGGTAGCGCTGCCCCTTGAACCTACCCTTCAAAAGTAGTTAATTTTGCATATGTTGATTGTGGTTGGGGAAAAAGTTTGTGTTTATTTATTTGAATTAAAATAAAGTTACCGAATTTCAACAGTTTTAATTAAAGTATGTCGTCCTTGGCTTAAAAATACACGTTATGTTGGGGACGTCGATTGACCTTGTCATTCCCATTAAATCGACGTCGGTACAAAACTGAAAAGTGCACAATGATTTCACATTTTTTCCAGCCAAGAAAAATTCAGCGTCTACCTTGGAGTTTTCTTAATTGAGTTTCATAACAGGAAGCTATGGAAATTAATATTCCTAACTGTTTTCCACCTCTTTGTTTGGACGTCTGCTTTTTTACGTCACTCCTCTTGCTCGATATAATATCCCTCTTATGACGTCAATATTTAGTGATAGCCGCTGGCTCTTGGGCTGATTTTTGTTGAAGCATATTTGTTATTGACTTGTGTACGATCATGGACAAGAACTAGACATCTTCAAAGTGTTGTTTTGGTGTTTGTGGTGAATGATTGAAATTTATATTGTACTAGGGGTAAACTGGCATTACTTTGTGTTTATATATGATCCTTTGAGGTGCCTTCAGATGCTATTAGTCAAAATTGCTAGTGAAAATCGCTAATTTTAAGAGATTTAAGGGATCTTCAGTGGCTGAGGCTCCGCACCGATATCGACGTCCTTTTGAAATACTGACGTCCTTGCGGCTTCAATCACACTCTCCTAAAAATCAATTTCAGGACACTGCCAAAAACCGGCGTAAGTTACGGACTCGCTTTATGGAACGAGGCCCTGAAGAGCGGCTTGGAACTGGAGGCTACTGCTGCACTGCAAAATTAACCGGCATAGCACGGTCAATCCGCGCAGGATAACCTCGGCCTCCCGGACGGCATCTGAGTCACTACTCACTTGCCCTGTGCTTCATGCTCCATAATTGCGAAACCTCTCTACCGGGTCACCGTTCGGTCAAACCCTGCTCTCTGCTCATTACTTCTCTTCCCCCTCTCTCACTCCATCCTCTCTCTCCACCTCCTGTTCGTGCCATAAGTCGGCCATCCGCGTCTCGGCAGGGTAGTAACAGTTCAGGGGCGGCGGCCGGCCCGGGGAGCCGTGAACCGGGTCGGCGCCCAGCCGGTCGGTACTCGGTACTCGCGGCGTGTGACTCATTACGCCACTGGCACACACCAGCTGACCTGGTCAGCGGCGCGGGGCGGCTCCCACGACCGGGTGCCCCGGCTACCGGTGACGTCACAGCTTCTCCAGTGACGTCACAAAGGCAGTGAGTGCTGCCCGTGCTGCCGCCGGCGCCGGTGACTGGCTGAGGTTCAGCAGAGCGTGTATAAGAATCAGGGCCATCCAGGTCCCAACACGCCCTGGATCAATATGTATTCCAAACGACAGCAGGCCGAGCCGTATCAGTGTATCGTACCTGGCGAGTTTTTCTGTCGCCGTGCAGTGGACCGGTGATATTAATGGTGCAGCGGACGACAGTGTCGCAACACTACCAAACCCGGCCTGCAGCTTCTGTTGACCGGCCGTCTCAAGGCCTGCCGGGTATCAGAATCACTCAGTACCGGTCGGGACGGACCCGCTGTATGACTGATGAGGCGGACAGGTGCCGTGGTGAGCCGGCCCCTCCCGATTTGGAGTGAAAGGCATACACGGAGGGGCAGAAGGCGCACACCGGCCGCCATTGGCCAGCACGGCGCACCGCGCCGCTCGTCCACGCCGGGAGGTGAATGCGAGAGCAGATCACATGCATAATGCAGCGAATTCGCCGTGTTCGCCGCCGAACAACGGCGGGAGTCAGCGTCGAGGACGACCCGACCCGAGAAGTGTATAAACGACCCGGCCGACCGCTGACAACGGCCCTGTGCACCGGGAGAGAGGTCACGACTCCGCGGCCGCGAGAGAGACAGAGCCAGTAGAGGACCAAAAACAGACGGGCTCAGGTCCACAGAAACTGTTTGGAAGAAAACTAGGACTTATATTTTTCGAGCGCCTAAAATCGGGCAATCGGGCTAAACAAGCCTATCAATTGTGGGGAAAATAGGTAGGTAGATTTTGCATGTGGTCAACGACTCAACACAGATACCTACCCTTCTCCAGATCAAACAGGTAACCAGAGCAGCTAGCAGCCTCGGACCTAGACAAGTTGGCGCGTCGAACTAGTGGTAGCCAGAGTTAATGTTCTCCGTCAATAGAACCATGTTTCGTCATTTGTCTTCGAGCTACTATAAATAAACAGAAATAGCGGATGTATATTTTACTGTTTGAACAACGTGCTGGAATATTCCATGCACCGAAGCAGTAATTCATTCATAATTAGGGGAACAAATTAGAGATGCCAAAAATTTGCAATTTCATTACCCGCCCCGCCCCGCAGCTACCCCTTGCCCAACCACAACTACCCGCAAGCTGATTTTGGCTGGGCCGAACCCGCAAAAAACCCGCAATTTTAAAAACCTGCTTTTGCAAGAAAAAATACAT